TAAAATTTGACTTGGTTTAATTTATTNTATTTTATTTAATATTTTATTTAATTACTAGGTATAAAATTGACTTAAAATGTCTAAAATTTGACTGGTTTATTTAATTTAATTTAATAATTTTATTTTATTTTATTTTATTTTATTATTATTTTTTTATTTATTTTTATTTTATTTTATTTTATTTTATTTTATTTATTTTTATTTTATTTTATTTTATTTTATTTTATTTTATTTTATTTTATTTTATTTTATTTTATAAAACATTTTTTATTTAATTACTAGTTATAAAATGGACTTGAAATGTTTAAAAGTTGACATGATCAAAACCAAATGTATTTTAGTTAATTCATAAAGTGAATTCATCATTTCATCTAATGGTGTAAGTTGCATCTTGGCAGAATCTCTTTACATGCTCTTGCGTGTAAAGATTCCTTTCCAGAGCATGAAGGCAAGCAGCTCATTTAATGCCTGTGGAGTGTGACACTGACACTGAGCATATCCAAAGATCTGGAGCACATCCTTCACACATTATACACATTTGTAGCGTTTTATTCCATTCCCCCAGTAGTCCATTGTAACTGTAGTCAAGGTTTATGCACTATATCAGTTGTGATTTTAGTTTTGCCAGCACCATTATCCATAGTTCCCTTGACCCCTACAACACTTTTGCTACTGTGCTTTTCTACCTACAGTAAAAGAGCTAATTGTCTAACCTCCATGTTATTTTAAAGATGATAATGTGTGTTTACCCATTTATGTAGTGTTATATTGTGCTTTTTTTGTGCTTGCTTTATTCTCCAGGGTTTCTACAGGCACTTTAAAAATAAAATAATAAATCTAAAATCTAAAATGTAGGCAACATTATTGGTTATAAATAGACTTGAAAGATCTAAAAATGTACTTGGTCAAAACCCATTTCATTTTATTTGATTTAGATTATTTTAGTTTAAATATATTTGTTTATTTCATATTACCATATATGAATTTTAATTCGTAATGGTTTTAAAACCAGTTTATTTTCTTTCAATCATTTTATATTCTTTTAATCATTTTCTAATCTTTTGTTTTATTCTTGTTTATTTAAAGCACTTTTAATTACCATTGTGTATGAAATGCTATATAAATAAACTCGCCTTGCCTTAATTTAATTTAATTTAATTTAATTACATTTTATTTTATTTTTATTTTATTACATTTTTATTTTTATTACAGTTTATTTTATTTTGATTTAATTACATTTTATTTTTATTTAATTACATTTTTATTTTAATACAGTTTATTTTATTTTAATTCAATTACATTTTATTTTATTTATTTCATTTTGTTTAGTTTTATTTAGTTTTATTTATTTTATTCTTCTTTGCCAAATATGAACTTTAACTCATAAGAGTTATACAACCTATTTATTTTGTTTTATTTAGTTTAGTTTTATTTAGTTTAGTTTTCTTTAATTTTAATATATTTGTTTGTTTTATTTTGCCATATATGAAATTTAATTCATAATGCTTATAAAACCTCTTTATTTTCTTAAACAAATCATTTAATTTAATTATTTTGATTTATTTTGTTTTATTTTTATTGTATTACATTTTATTTTATTTTAAGTTTATTGCATTTCATTTAATTTTTATTGTTTTACATTTTATTTTATTTAAAATTTATTACATTTTATTTTATTTTTAATTTTTAATTTTAATTTTATTCAGTTTTATGTTTTTATTTGATTTTGTGATATATGAAATTTTATTTATAATGGTTATTTAATGGACTTTAAATGTTTAAAAATTTA